TCAAGGCAGCGGCCACGCCGGGCCGCAGCACGCACCGGGGGGCGTACCCGCCCGGGCGCCACGACCCAGCGAACCCGACAACCCAGCCAGCACCCAAAAAGGACCCCTGATAGAGGATGAGGCTCCTGTGCCTCATTCCCCCCCCTCTGGGAGAGCACGCTCACCCAGCGGGTAACCCCCACGCCCCCCCTGAGCCCGGGGCATGCCCCGGGCGCAGAGTGACGATAGGCTATCACACAGAAACACACACACACACACACATACCCTGAGCTATCGGCCACCCTCCGACCTCCAGCCCGTGTGCCTTCGCCCTGTGCACTCTACCCCAGAAGACTGCCCAGGCGGTAACACCCCTTCCCCCCTTATCCCAAATTGCGGGTGTTGGTGGCTGTCTCCACGGCCGAGACACCACCTCGTGGTCTCCGTCCCCCCTCATGACGCCTGGGCTGGGACCGTGCAGCATCCGACAGGGGACTTCGCAGACTCCGCCGTGTCCGAAGCCACCGAGTTCCAGCCACCCGTCCCGGACGGACTTTCGTCCGTCCGACTCACAGCAGTGTCGTAGGCTCGGCTGGGCAAGGCCGGGGTCACCCATATGGGAGACCCCAGCACGCCTTACCTCATTGCCCCGACCCACCGCCGCGAGGCGCCGTAGGCTTAGCTGGGCAAGACCGAGGTCGCTCGTAGCGGAGCCTCTAGCAAGCCCTACCTCATTGCCCCGACGTGGCTCCCCCAGGGGGGACGCCTTGGACAGGCAGCCAGTTCTTAGGCAGCTCCCCGGGTGTACAGGCCACCCGCAGCCTCCCTGCTCCCACCCCAGCGCCAAGCAGGGAGCGGAGGCATGGGGTAGCCTCCGGCCCTCGCAGACGCCAGATATTTTACAGGAGCAGGACCACCGCGTCACGCCGCTCACGACGTGGCACGATTTCACCCCGGACACAGTCAAACTCCACCCGCACGTGCGAGAGGAGGCGGGCTCTAGAACAGGGTGTCCCGCGTTTGAGGAGGGCACCTGCTGGCCCATTCGGTCGTCCGGCGGTGAACCCTCCTCCCCACCCCCGCGACTCTAGGCGACAAACCTTCCCAACGCGAGTACCCCCCCATTTTTCCCCCGGACCGACCCGCGTCCGCCCCCCCGCCTAAGATTCCGGACACCGGCACCCAACGCCCCCGGCGGTACGCCCATTGCCGCTCCAGCCACACCCCTCGGTGCGCCTTCATCGCACACGGGGTCTAGGCGCACAGGGACCTTAGCCTAACGGATCAAGGGGCGTGGGCCCCCGACGTTGCCATAACGGATCACCGGCGCGCCCCTCGTTGCCGACTATCACCAGTCCCCATGCGCCCGTGTTGCCCGTCCTCCGGACAGGATCACCAGGAAGCGCCAGACCAATGCCCTTTCCCCCATGCGCCGCGGGCGGTGCCGTCTGGGAACGCAGTCGAGACCGCGCTCACAGCCGGCTCGCAGGCCGTTCCGTCCTACCTAGCGACTCTACCTCGCACGAATACCCCATACTCTTCCCTGGGCCGCCCGGCATGACACATTGCCTACCGGTATAAGCCTCAGGGTTTCCCCCCGTCCCTACGCTACCCTGTCCACACTTAGCCAGCGGTCCTCAGGTAGGGGCCTCCCCTCCGGCCGAAGCCGAAAGGTACTGCCGCCGAGCCTTCATCGGATCGCCGGAGCCCCCCCACCACGGCAAGGTGGTGGACATGGGGGGGTTCCGGATTTACCTGCACGGCCCTGTATTTCATCTATATATGTTGCGATTAACGCAGTAATATAATTTTTTTTATAATATAATTTAATTTTAATAAAAATTATATTTTTCGTACTTTTATTGTTAATTTAAACCTTAACTAGTAATCCATACAGCACAGAAGCTTGCAGCAACATTGCTACAACGTTGCAAGATTGTATATTGCAGTGCAATGTTGCAGAGACATTGCAGTAACATGTTTGTGAGCTGCGACGGCTTTTCCGAGACGCCGCTCATCTGCCGGCAAATTTCCGCCGGCTCCCGATCCACGAGTTCTCGAACGCGAGAGGTTGGGCGCCAGGTGCGGAAACGGCCGCACCACCGCACAATGAAATATCGCGAGAGAAAGTTAACCCTATCGGAAGCCACCGACAGGCAAATCGTGTCTGGAACCGTACGGGACCGGTAGCTCCAAGGAATTTTGGAATCGAAGACGGGATGGGTTCGTTGGAAACGGGGGACGGTAGAAAATACTCGAGGAGTAGTTTTGTGATCGTAGGCGAGTTTTTATTAGAGCGGGACTCGCCGCCCCGAGATCGGACGCGCTACACAAAATCGGAAGCGACGGCGCGAAGGACGAATTGCACGCCGTCCGCGACAATAGGCAAGTCGGTAGAGAACCTAGGGCCGGCCCCTAGGTTCCGAGGTTTCGCGGCCGCTCCGTGGACGAGACGATATCACAGACGATTTTTAAGAGCAGATAGGAGGTCTTACAATTTACGATGGCTCGCCCTTCGGGGTGACTCCGGTGTCGAGGTCCTCTCCGGTAGGGTCCTCCGTCGGCTCCGTCGGCGCCCTCGCTCGTTCGTTCTCGCTCGCTCTCCCTCTCCCGCACGTTCGCTCTCTCTCTCGCCTGCACGTTCGCTCTCTCTCTCGCCTGCACGTTCGCTCTCTCTCGCCTGCACGTTCGCTCTTTCTCGCCTGCACGTTCGCTTGCACACTCACTCTCGGCACGGGCTCACTAATAACTCGGTAGCATTAAAATCGAGTCGGTATCGCAAAAAGCTCTTGATAGTGATCACGCGACGGCAACCGGTAAGAGATTGCTTGCGCTGATCTTCCTTGTTCTCTCGATCGCTGATCCACTTCTCCGCCTCCGTCGCCCCTCTCGCCTGCGCTCAATCCTTCCTTGATCTCGAAAGTTCGGCAGCCGTGATTATTATTATTCGAGACTTTTCTTCTCGACGACGTACCTCGTGGCCTTGATCAAGCGGTATTGTTTCCCGTCTCAGCTGTATGGGCCCCCATGGCCCCTCGCTAAACGTCAGCTGAAAAGGTAAATAGCGCGACAGCTTTGGAGCTCGGCGTGACGATGACAATTATCGCGTTGCTGAATATTCGTGAGCGATTGAATATTTCGGCACGCGATAGACGATTCCAGAATATTCTCTGTTCGATAGCGATCGAATTTTCGAGAACGATTCTGGAAATAAGCGGAAAAGAAAATCGTCACTTAGACCAGGAGCGTAATCACCTGAGCGGTAGCGGTGGTGGTGTAGGCGATGTTCCTCCGTCCCATGATGTCCTTGGGTTTCTCCTGCCCGCTGGTTGACCAAAAAGGGGAGCCTGGGGGCACAAAACTCGGGGCGCGATGACCACTCTATCTGCTCCACGAGCTCTCCGGAATGTTTAACCGGCGGCGAAAACCGGCGTACGTGAAACAAAACGCGTACTCGGTCGAGGCGGCGGAAATATTCGCGAAATTGGTTCTTATT